TATATTTATATTTTGTATATATAACTAATATATATACATATAAATATTATTTTTAATATATATTATATGTATATATGCTAGTTATAATTATTTGTATTTTAATATGTATATTATGTATGTATATAAATTTAATTATAATTATTTTTATTTTAATATATATGCATTAGTAATGATATATATATATATATATATTGTATTTATGTGTATATGTATTTTATTAATTATAAATAATTTTATTTTTAATATATATATATATATATAATTTATATGCATATATGAATTTAAATACATGTGGATGAATATTTGGATATTTAATTAATATTTTTTTGCTGAGTCAACAGTTTTTTTTGCTGAGTCAGTGATTTTTTGCTGAGTCAGCAGTTGTATTTAACGACGTTAACAGACGCATGTTTGATTTGGAAAAAAATTAAAAATCTGGGTATTTATGTGGAATTTGTGAAAAGTTCAGGTATTTATATGTCAATTTTATAGTTCAGGTATTTATTTGAGATTTTTGTAAAAGTTCGAGTATTTTTATGCGTTTATCCAAAAAAAAAATATCATTTGCTTTGGACTGTAAATATTACTTTAAAAAAGTATATGACCTTAATACAATTTCCAATCTTAATTAAACTACATTTTCATACTTATGAGCACAAACAATGAAAATGATCATATGCTAATTCACATATGGGCATCATATGCACATTAAACAGAATTGGTCTCTCCCCTAGAAAATGTAGAAAATAAATTTCTGCGTTTTGTTTTGTAAGATTAACTCCATGACAAATGGTATTGAGTAATATTTTAACACATTATTTTTAGATTTTTTAAATCCCATACATACATACATACATACATATATACTAGGGGTGTCAAAATGATCGGGTCGGGCCGGCCCGGCCCGAGCCCGACACAAGTCCGGATATCGGGCCGGCCTGGCCCAAAAAACCAACATGCCAAAAATCTTCGGCCCGGAGCCCAGCCCTATGGGTTTTTTTCGGGTTCGGACCGGGCTTCGGACTTGATTTTTTTTATAAAAAATATAAACAAATTAAAATAATTAAAATAGAAAAATTTTTAATATATTTCGTGATAATAAAAAGATAAAAAAATAGATTACAAAGTTACGTATTTTGATCTAATTTAAATTTAAATTTAAATTTTTTTAATTTTATATGGTAATAAATTTTTAAAAATGATAAATTATTATATTTTTCATTTGGAATAATTATTTGAAACTAATAGTATTATAATTTTGATTATATCATTTATGAAAATATTATATCCTAAAATATTTAGTATTAAACAAGTTTTTAATTTTTTTATAACTTTCTATATTATATAATATTTGTATATTTTTTATACATGTATATACATTATAAATTTTT